CCCCCCCCCCTTTTTTTTTTCCCACGATAAAAACTATGCAGCTGCCCGAAAATGCCCCCCTCCCCTATATAAAGAAAAAGAAAAACTTGCCACCGGGGTGGACCCTCCCCCTCTACACCCACTTCCTACGTCACTAACAATATGTAAACAGAGGGGAGGGGTCCAAATGATGTCCCTCCCAGGACAAGAGCTTCTATTTTCTCAATTTGAAGGGGTGTATCCCCCCCCCCCTCCATTGGAGGAAGCCAAACTACCCCCCCCCCTTCCCTAACTGCTGGCCTTGGTCAATTCTGCATGGTATTTAATTCGAGTCAATAGTCAAATACTAGTAACAAAAAAACAACAACAACAACAACAAAATTAGAGCTAAAAAATTGTTAGCACATTGTTGACTATCAAAAAAAAAATTATTATTGGTACTAAACGATTACAATTTCACTAACAGCACAATAAGTTTGTTTTTTAAGTTAGCAAATCAAATTATCAAATCTAGTTTTAGTTGGCCTATATTTTTTTTGTTTTGTTTTTGTTTAAACTCTTGTCCTAAAAAAACATATCTCCGATTGGTGACTTTTGACGGCTGTGGTAAAAATTGTGTCATTTTCATAATTTTGGTTTAGAGTAATTAAATCCCCCGGAGTCCAGGAGCCATCTATCCACTCTCAACTGGGCAGACTTGCCGTTGCGTTGGGCCATAAAAACGACTGAGTCCTTACTTTTCTTTTTTTTCACCGAGTACGACATGTATTGAGAACTATTTCAGAATTATTTTTTTTAAAAACAATTTCTGTTGTTTTGTTTTGTAAGGAGGGAGCCAACTCTCATTTTATACATTTTCACCAATTGTATAAAAGTAGAATGGGGTTTTATAATGGCTGCGAGACTTTCCGGAATGATGCAAACTGTTAGTTTTATCATAATTTTACATATTGAAACTTACTTATCTTAAAATAACGCTTTGCAATGCTCTTAAACAACACTATATATTGGACATTTAACAGTGCTTTAAAAAAAAGCTGTATTGACCTTTTAATTAATTATTTGATTTGATTTACATGTTTCTTCATGAAGTTATCGGAATTTGGTTTAGACGACGAAGACAAGTGACAAGTAAAAGTGTAAATTGAATATGAATAATAAAGTAATAATAAAGTAAAGTTTAATTAAAATAATTAAGCCTAACATATGGCATTTACTGCAAAAGCCTGTCACACTACACTCTACACCTACACAGAAAAAGTAAAATTTTGTGAGTAGGAGTAGGGCTTACTCCTTTATTATGATTTCATCTGTGGGTGAATCACTGAAATCACTCACTCCATAACTAATAATTGCTTGCATTTTTAAATTAATAAGCAGCAACACCACATAAAATTTGAGCTACTTAATTTGAAATAATAATTTAAATCAGAAAATGCAGCTATTCTAAAGTATGGTATACTTACATTTATTAATATGTGTAATATTATTGAAATTATTTATAATTAATAATAATATCAACAAATTTTTTAAAATATGAAATTCTTATAGTGAGCAATGTTCAAGAAAAATGGGTGAAGATGATGACTGAAAAATGGGTGAAAAAATGTGGAGGAAAATTCAATCCAAGTTTAAAAGACACTTGAGATCCACACTAAAAAAATCATAACTAAAATTGAACCACTTGAGACTTGAGCTAGAAAGTTGATCTTGGTGTTTTTTAAATGATTCATTTGGCTCCATTCAACCACATTGCATTTAAATTTTGTTAAAAGTACCTATGTTTTGCTATGTTAATTAGGCCTATTTGTTAAATATTGAAATATAGTTTCTCCTAAAACGGACTGGTGAAAAGATTTTTGCTGTTTTTGCACCATTATCAATAAAATTTATTTGGTACACCTGTTAGCATTCAGACCTGTATGAGAGGTTGGGAATCACTGTACAAGAGCAAAGGTTTGCAGCCCTTGGGAGGCGACCTCACATGGGATTGCGAAGGGATTTATGTGTGGTCGCTGGCTGAAATAAAGACTAAGAGAAGCAGTGATTTAAAAATAATTTTCCTTTGTAATTGATGTATTGAAGTTGGAGTTACAATTTCAGTGTGCCAATTATATTTTATTATAAAATTGAGTTTAAAAAATTTTTACTCTATTTAAAAGCCCTTTTTTCCAATATATCGTAGTAAGGGCTTTTTGCTAGTGTCTGAATGCGGTCGTGACTTGAAAACGTTAAGAACCTGTGTACTAGAGCTAATGATCTTAGAAATTCAGCACAGTTAACTAGATTTAGGTCTAGGCTAATATAGCCACAATTTTTTGACAGTCTGTCACTTGCTGAAATGTAAAGAAACAATACAATTATTTTCTAAAATTGTGTACCTGTTCCCGGGGTGGGACAATGTCCGAAGAAGGTTTTTATTTAATAAAAATTGTTCTAGATCCTGGAAGAGAAACCCTAATTTTTATAAAAAATTACTATGCTAATAATATGCCACAATTTTTCATTTTTAAGACACATAAAGCACTCAAATTCTCAGCATATTCTTCAATATGATATTGATATTATCAAGTACAATCTATATTAACCCACACACTTAATTTACACTGTCAAATGTCTGTACTCACCGAAAGCTCTGGGTCAGCTAGTGTTCAGCCTTGGGATTTTTAAATTTTATTTAGGCCAGGCCTGTCACAATTCCATTTCTAATTTCATTTTATTTCATCTAATAGACTTACACTAATAGTACTACTCAACTAGAAAGAATATTAAATTAAATGTATATAATTTACCAAAGTGACTAAGAGAATATTAAGTAATTAAATTGAGATAACTTTTAGATGAGCTGAGGGTCTTGCTTAAAAAAGTAGATAAGTCCCTTTGAATTAAGATACTAATTAATATACCCTGTAGATTGACCCATATAATAATTATGTAATAATTATTTGATTAAATTTTCACTAATTGAAAATTTTATTGATTACACAGGTGTATGAGTTGTGATACATTTCGTATTTACATCAAGCATGGCAGAGGGGGGAAAGAGCACTTTGAACTTGTCAGGCTCTAAAAAGTCTGGAAAGAAAAAGCATAAAAAGCCAGGGGCACCTCAGAGTGGAGATGGGACACCTAAGCAGGCAACTCCCAATCCTAAATCATCTGCTTCCTCAGCACTTGCTGCTACGACACCAACTAGCAGAAATATTATTGAACATGAGGGTGATGGTATTCCATCTCCAGTTCAAACCCCAGTGCCAAGTCATGCACACTCGGCAGAAGGGGCCCTGAAAGCTGTGATACCATCACGAGATGAGTGTGCAAGTCACGCCAAAATAGACGAAAAGCAAAGCCATAAACAGGAGGGGGACACTCCAGCAAAATCAAAAGGAGGAAAGCAGCAAAAAAGTTAGCAGCTTTTAAGAACTCATTTTTATTAAGGTCTATTTTGTGAATTTCAAAACTGATGAGAACAGAATGTATTAACCATTAGACACCTCCTCTCCTTTGATGCCACAAAAACTCTCGTCTCTTCACTCATTCTTTCAAAATTTGACTACTGTAACATTCTTCTCTCAGGCATTCCTCAACACCACATAGAAAAACTTCAGAAGGCACAGAACTCAGCATGCAGACTCATTTTTAAATCAAAGAAGCATGACCACATTCAACCACACATGCGGCAACTCCACTGGCTTCCAATATCCTCTCGCATCAAATACAAGTCTGCCAATCTTTGCTTCAACTTGTTCACTGACCCTCACTTTCCTGTCTATCTCTCTGAACTGTTGCTTCCTTACATCCCCACAAGACAACTACGTTCTTCCATTGACAGTAGAACCCTCTCAATCCCAAGAACTAAAACTAAGACCATCGTAAGACAACTACGTTCTTCCATTGACAGTAGAACCCTCTCAATCCCAAGAACTAAAACTAAGACCATCGGTGAACGCTCCTTCTGCTTCCATGGGCCCACGTTCTGGAACCAGCTCCCCTTCCATATAAGTCATAGTGAAACCTCGTCCATTTTCAAAAAGTCCCTTAAAACTCATCTGTTTAGGTCCGCCTATGACCTGTGAGTCACCCTCCTTGCCCTACCTCATTTTCTGTTTCGGGTTGATCCTGAAGTGTCAAAGTGTCCTCGTTTTATAGCCATTTTCATTGTTTCTATAGAATAGTAGTTACTATCCTAGTGTCTCATTTGTATTTACTTAGTTTACATGTTTTAATAATTGTAAAGCGCTTAGAGCTTTATGATAAGCGCTATATAAAAATGCCTAAATAAATAAATAAATAAATGTAAAGCTATTTTAACATATCATGTATGCTACTTTACAGGGCTAATCCTCTAATAGGCAATGTTTTGCTTTCTAGGCTGAATTGTTATCAATTATTTAGCAATAGACATTGTTTCTTTTATTTACTTACTATGGTACACAGAGGCTAGTTTCAAGGGGTCTACACATGCAGTCTTTCATACTTTTACCATATTTATTTGACCTGATTTTTTAAAGCATTTTTTTATTCTACTACTATTATTAAGAGAGTTAGTTTTTTTCACTCCACTAAATACAAAATTTTCCTCGCAGATCAAGAAAAAAAGAACAATTCACCCAAGTCCAACTTGAATGAGGTTGAAACTAACAAGATTGGTGGAAGTAACCCAAAAGATGATACCAATAAAAAATCTGAGAAACTTACTAAAGATTCTCATTCTTTGCCAGCTATTATAAAAGAGGTTGTGCCACAGACACATTCAGTAAACACACAGAATGTGCCCTTATCAGACTCTAAGCAAAGTGATTCCATCAATCCTTCACCCAAGCAGGTCAAGGAGAAGAAGACAGACAGTGGTAAGAAACAAGTTGAAGGTAAACAACAGGCGGAGAAAGAAAAAGTTGCAGACGGCGCTGGTGGGGAGCAGAAATCCAAAGCTCAACTTAGATCTGAGCGGAGGGCTATACAGGTGAGTGTGATCCAACTTAGAGACCCAATGATGGCACTTACAAACAAACCCATTTACAGCCAAGCAGTCTAAACATCCCACTTATCTTTAATATTTGTGAACAACTTAAATCAACCTTCACAAAGTAGGTATATATTTTTTAAATATTTATATCTTCATATTCAGTTATTTTACAGTTTTGTCTAATATCTGTGTTCTTTGCTTTATTAACTACCCTTGTTCACCTGTTTAAAAAACAGGAAGCTCAAAGAGCAGCCAAAGAGGCCAAGAAATCTGAAACCAGCACAGGTAGCCCTGCAGCATCAACTACAACTTCAGCAGGTATTTACGCTCTGTGTCTTGCATTTATTTTAATTAAACTGCCTGATACTTGACTCATAACACATAAGGAGGATTCATTTTTGTTATAACTTGCAGTAAAAAACAGTTTGTCCAACCTACAAATTTTGACAAACCAATCATTAATAGAGCCTCCCAAAGGGGAATTATTTTATCTGCTCTTTCTGGGTCTGTTTTAGTAGCTATGGGATGAGAAATTTTTATCATGTTTTGCATTGAGATGTCCCACTACAAATGAACTTAAATATCCTTGCTTTGACTAGTGTCCATAGTGAAATGGTTAAAACGAAATAGTTTGAGCCAGTAGTATTTATTATTAAGTAAGATTTTTACTTTTATTTGAGATTATTCATCAGTTTGAATTCAGACAAAAATAATGTTGAATGCAAATAAAAAGTTTAAAACACTATTTTCTTTTTATAGCCAACAAGAATATAGTGGTGTCAGCTTCCAAGATTTCTGTCCCTGGGGGAGTGGCGAGTGTCAATAAAGAACCCAAGAAAATGGTGACTAAAAAGTCCATCATCAACGAAACAGAGGAGCAGATGTGGGCTCGGAAGGAAAAAGAGATACTGTATGTCAAGATCGGAGTCTTACTGTGTTGTATTTTTTTATGTTATTATGGATTTGTAAATTAATTTTCCAGTATAACCAGATATCTATGTTTTATGTTTCTATGTTACAGTACATTCATACATGTATTGTTTAGTAGTATGCATAGATTCATATATTCCTGCAACAAACATTTTGTGATACAGTGCTTTTATACATCACATTCCATGAAGTTCATTGAAATTAAAATGGTGCTTGTGTCGGTAAATTTAAAGCAAGACTTTAAATAACCGAACATGATCACATGTGCTATTATATGTTTCAGTTTAATTTCCTACTATATATAATTTAATCATATGACATTCTGACACCTGCTACAGTGCTCTTCTTTCCCGCCAAGACGAGGAGGGACATAACATCATATTCTCAATTTTAGAATAAATTAAATAGCTTACGCGAGGACAGGACAATTAATTTGAATTCAAATTATAAAAACTTATATGTGATATCTTATTATCAGACTTTTATTTTTTTTCTTGGTGCTGTGATTGCTGTGTTTTGAAATGAACTTTTTTTTCTGATAGCGGCAAATCCTTGAAGATTGATGACAGAGTGTTGAACTTGGGCTTTCAGTACTTCCATCACAATATTGTAGGGGCAAATGCCAGGTGTCTAGCCCTGCTCAAAACATTAAAAGAGGTTTGTACTGGCCCTGCTGTCAAACTATAACTTTTTGGTGTGCATTACAATGACAGTTACAATTTTAACATTTTTAAAATGAAACTTTTTTTGTTTGGTAATCAATTTGAATATTAAAACAGATCATCACAAACTACAGGACACCTGAAGAGAAGGAGCTCTCCAGAGACCTGGAGAAGAGCTTACTTGCTCCCTGCATTACGTGAGTATAGGAAAATTGTCACTTAATGTTGAAGGAGATAAATGTTAAAGAGATATTGTGCCATGAGATTATATGTAAATTGTGGAGGACTGCGTTCAGGCTGAACTAATATTAAGTATAACTCGTAGAGCAGGGGAAAACTTGCTAGATCACTAAACAAACTTACATTTCTGCTGAAAACCTTCCACGGCAAAAAAAAAAAAAAGAACAAAAATGCTAATATTTTTTGCTGCTAGGCATAGCTTCCCTTGTGATCTTTCAGGTTTTGTCTCATCTGTGAGTCATATTTCATTTGTCTTAAACAAAAATTTTTTTATGCAACTAATATGGATACATTTCTCATAATCATGGCTTGGTAGAGATTTGTGAGGGTGAAAAGAGTCTGTAAAATTATTTCCCACTCTATAAGAAATTTAGATCTAAATCTAATATTATTGTGTTTAAATTGTATAATTTTCATTAAAATTATATCTCCCAATTTATTGATTTGCTCCTGATTTGAGAAGTGACATCTCCTTCTCTTTTTGTAGCTACTTGAACTACTGTAGACCAATGAGCACCAGCATGGGCAATGCCGTTAAGTACTTAAAATATCACATCAGCAAAATAACAAAAGAAGATGAAGCAGTAAGTTGCTGTGAGATATGAATGAAAATTAAATTAGATCCTTTTCTGACAAAACTTTTAATGTGTTAAATCTGAATTAAAAAAAAACACAAATGGATTTTTATTAAATAAATAGTACAGTACCTTAATATTTCCCTTCTAAATAATAAGCCAACAGTATTAACTGTTGTTTTTTTTTTGTTCCAATTGAAGTAGTCAAGCACATTGTATCTATTGTATCTTAACTGGTTGTTATGTAATGAACAGGCTATTGAGGAGCTTCAAGAACTTATAGATAATTTCAAAGAGGAGAAAATTGAGAAAGCTGCGGAGGCCATCAAACAGTTTGCCAGTGATGCCAAGATCAGCGATGATGACGTCATAATGGTTTATGCTGCGTGAGTTCAATAGCCATAACATGGCCTGCTGTTTCATTTTAAAGTTTATTCTTTTTGAATGCTTAACCAGCCCATTGAATTAGAGTTTAAGTTAGAAGATTATATGAAATTGTAAATTTCTGTTCCTTTTTTAAAAAAAAATTATTTCGGATATCAGAGAAGACGTTTTTGTTTTTTTTCAAGACTTGATACCTTTTTGTCCATCATGACAGGTCATCATTGATAAGTAAGGTATTACAGCACGCTCACAGCAGCGGAAAACAGTTTCGAGTCATTGTTGTAGAAGGAAGGCCTAGAACTGAAGGTAACTTAGGCTGATTCATCTGACGCCTCAAACATATTTCATTAGTTTGTATAAAAATAAGAAAATACCCAGTGGTAGCTAAATACACATTTCTTGTATTAAAGAAATCTTTTAAAAACTTTCCGAAAAAAACCGAGGAATTAGCTGGAATAAATTTGTGGATTTATCCTTTTAATTGGGGATGGGTCAACTTTACCAAAAAAAATCAATTTTCCAAAACGTCTAAATTTGGTTACATAAACCTCTTTTGAACACAATCCCCCAATAAAATTAGTTCAAAATAAATGCTGCAAGTATATAATTGGTACCAGTGTAACATGTGTATAGGCAACAATTTCCAGAAACTGGGCTTTCCGACACATGATGGCTTGTTACAACCCCATATAACTATATTCCTTAAGTTGCCTTATACCGCATGTTAGGCATCGATAGAAAGGCAATTGAATGGACTGTCGTGCTGACCTACTTATCTAAAAATAATTCTGCGGAACAAAGGAATGAACGTGTGCTCAGTATGTCATCTCATTGTAAAAATTGGATTTACACGGCTACTACGTCACTGAGTTTTAAACTCTGCAATTTCATTGGTTGACTTGAAATAGGGCTGGACAATCCTATACCAAAATTCAATCAATTTTGTCCACCATCTTGTCTCTGCGTCATCATTGGAGATAGTAAGAGTTCTAAAACCACATTCTTCAAGCAAACATCTGATTTTTCAACAACTGATCTTTTCGTGATCATTATTTTTGTTCAATAAAAACTAAAAGGTAAATATGGATGTTATGTTTTACTATTAGCCTTTTTTTGAAAATGCAATTAATGATGATCATACAATGCTTTCTGGCACTTGGACTGAGGCCTAGGCTTAGTCATAAAATAAAAAAAAACAGTTTATACTGGCTCTAGTATCTCAGTACTTAGACTTCGTTCTTAGTGAGCTACAACAGGCTCTAGGGGCCATTTCAGATTAACTAAATTAATAATAATATTGGGCTTTTCAATGATTAGATTTTTGCTATAAATATTTATTAATGTGCTTGCTTACTTGTTAAAAAATTAAGCCAAAGAATTTTTTTTTTTTAAATGAGTCTGAAAAGAATAGTGTAGTGTAGGCCTTGTTAGATTTAGGATAGTTATTTAAAATTTAGAAGAGCAGGTACCTTAATTTTATGTGCACTAGGCTTCTATGCATTGGTCCATTGGCTAACATAAAATAACCAACCCCAAAAGTTGTACTTTTATTACTGTGAAAACAAAATTATTTTTTAAAATTTCAGTGAAATGGCACCAAAAAAAACAGTCATCTGTTCTCCGTGCCAAACATAGGGTTCAGTCAAAAAAAGAAGTGCGGTAATGGCAAATGCCAGGGCAGTTAAAATGGCTAAGAAGCTACTGGAGCAGGAAGCATCAACCCCACTACTAGGGGTTGCTTCAGAGTCTTTAACTGCAGCAGACTCAAAAATTACAGGAAGGAATCTGCATCCAAAAAGAAATTAAACTTTGAATCTCTGTCACAAGTAAAGCCATGTGATGGAAGCACAATGTCTTCAGTGTCAAAGGACTCTGCATCCAAAAGGAAATTAAACTTTGAATCTCTGTCACAAGTAAACCCATGTGACATGTGATGGAAGCACAATGTCTTCAGTGGCAAAGGACTCTGCATCCAAAAGGAAATTAAACTTTGAATCTCTGTCACAAGTAAACCCATGTGACATGTGATGGAAGCACAATGTCTTCAGTGGCAAAGGACTCTGCATCCAAAAGGAAATTAAACTTTGAATCTCTGTCACAAGTAAACCCATGTGACATGTCATGGAAGCACAATGTCTTCAGTGGCAAAGGACTCTGCATCCAAAAGGAAATTAAACTTTGAATCTCTGTCACAAGTAAACCCATGTGACATGTCATGGAAGCACAATGTCTTCAGTGGCAAAGGACTCTGCATCCAAAAGGAAATTAAACTTTGAATCTCTGTCACAAGTAAACCCATGTGACATGTCATGGAAGCACAATGTCTTCAGTAGCACTTATTGACCTCAGCGACCTGTCCTCTTTATTTAGTGAATTTGGATGTGAAGTATGCAGAGAAAAGCTAACACTTGAATTTGAGAAAAGAACAGGTTCTGTTCCTATTTTAAAAGTATCATGAAGTCATTGCAAAGTTCTTCATGCAAGCACTTCTTCGTCTAAAACACTTGCTGACACTAAGCATTATGACGTTAACAGACGACTAGTGGCATCATTTATAACATTGGTCTCGGTTTTGCTGGCATGGAGTCTTTTTGCGAATCGGAATGGGCTCCATGAGATATAAAACGTACAATTCTCACCTGACAGTGATCCACATGAGAACTTAAGTATTTAGCGAACAGGTGAAATGAGAAGCAGTGGATAAAGTTAGACAAGTTTATGGTGCTAACAACAAAGATGATGTTGTTGATATAACTGTCAGCTTTGATGGCTCCTGGCAAAAAAGGGGACATATATCCAAACATGAGCTTTGCGTGTGTTGATTGAGGCTACCACTGGATGAGCTGTAGATTTCCATGTTATATCTACATATTGTCAGGTAAGAATAATTATTATTTAACAACTAACGTATTTGTTTAATCAAAACAATTAATTGTACCATTTTGCACAACATATAGTTTTAGTAAACTGCAGCTTTTTCAAAATCTACTTTTTCAGCATGTTCAGCAATGTTCAACAACCGGCAAGCCTAAACTGCAGCAGTGAGATGGGATACCAGGAGTGGTACAACACTCGCAAAGATAACTGCTCCATTAACCATTCTGGCTCTGCTGGTCGCATGGAGATTGAAGCAACATTTGTATCTGATGGTGACTGCAAGACATACCATGAATTGCAGGCTTTAGCACCTTACAGTATTCCTATACAGAAGGAGGAATGCAAAAAATCATGTGTCAAAGAGGCTTGGTACCGCTTTTCGAAACTTGGCGGCAACAGAGTCTAAGAGCGGCATAACACTTGTCGGGTGTAAGACTGGTAGTTTGACCCAGGTAAATATTTGTATGTTTATACTGCTAATCATTACTATAAAAAAATTGCTACAGATATTGTAGTCACCACATCAGTGGTTCTTAACTTGGGTTCGATCGAACCCCAGGGGTTCGGTGAGTCAGTCTTAAGGGTTCGGCGGAGGTCCAAAAAAAATCAGAAAAAAAATCATATTTTATTTTTCCTATTAAGAAGGGTTCGGTGAATGCGCATATGAAACTGGTAGGGTTCGGTACCTCCAAAAAGGTTAAGAACCACTGTACTACAGTATCATAATTTTATTTTATCTGTGTTTATTTTTAAAACCATGCTCTTTTTTCTCTTATGTTTTTGATGATCCACTGGCATGTATTTATATAATAATGTATACATTTTTATTCTTTGGTTAAAATTAACCTTCTACAGTGGCATTACAAGAAGGCTGTGGTGGCTCCAGCACTGAAGAACTTTGAAAGAAGATTTCAATGACATTCCAGGATGCCTTATCATCTGATGAGAACCCAAGCATCATGACTGCCCCACCGGACAGACATTGTGCTTTTGGCAGAGAGCTATTGCCCACAAACAGTCCCCACCAACTCATAAAGGAAAAAGCAGCAGTTTCACATCAGAGACTATTGCAAAGAAAGTGAAGCCTATTTATGACAGGCTCAGTTCGGATGTGCTTCTGGCAAGATGCTTGTCTGAGATGACACAAAATGCGAATGAAAGCATCCAAGCAGAAATATGGTCGAGGTGCCCTAAGCACATTTTTGTTAGGGAGAAGGTGGGTGGAAGTGTGGACAGCCTTGGGCGTATCAGAGTTTAATTCTGGCAGTGTTGGGTTTAGGGGCTTTTTAGAAGGGTAAAAAGAGAGACACTTTACGCATTTCAAAAGCAGAGAGAAAAGAAGTCTTAGAAGCAAAGAGGAGAAGAAAAGAGCTAACAGCAGCCAGCATTATTGCTCATTTGGGGTAGGTGAAGAAAAGAGATGACCGTAGCCAGCATTATTGCTCATTTGGGGTAGGTGTAGAAAAGAGACTACAGCAGCCAGCATTATTGCTCATTTGGGGTGGTTGTAGGAAAGAGATTACAGCAGCCAGTATTATTGCTCATTTGGGGTCGCTGTACATAAAAATTGATAATTTTTACATATATTGACTTTTGAAATTTATTTTATTGATTCCCATTAGCAAGAGGCACAGGTGTCACATTAATACACCTTTATGCAAACTTTGAAGTTGCAAAAATACAATATTTTAATATGCAATTTTCATTATGCCTTATCTCCGTTGTGTCATTTTTACAAGTGTGGGATTATTGGAAGCTGTGTGTTTCAGAAACAGCCTATCAAATTAGAACGAAATTTGCACCATGTGTTTGCAACATGTTTATCTACAATGTCACAGAGGGTTTTTATTATATTTTAAAAGACAAAAACAATATTTTCATTTTAGACAACACAATTTTTGTGAATGACTGATTATTTTTCACAACAATTTTTTTAAATTTGCAAAAATGTGTTTTTAAGGTTATGCTAATTTCCTTCAGTGACATTGTGCAATGTCCTATGCACAAGAATTCTGCCAAGTTTTATTGAATTCAAATACTTTAGTCCTACTTTCCTATCAAAAGCATAATAAAAAATATGAATTTGTCCCGTTCGTTTTTTTCTATGTGTTTTTATTGCTTTTTGATGAGCAAAAACAGTTCTGACTTAGTGATGGACTTTAAGTTTTAGCATTTTAACTACCTGTCGTCCCCATCCCCCCCCCCCATCCCTCCCCTCCCTCTTCCCCTTAAAACAAATATTAAGTTCGAATGTGTTTCAATTTTCCAAGTTTTAATCATAATTTGCTTTAACAAAAAAATTGTTTATTTATCATTGTCAATATCTTACAGTAGTACGATTTATGTATTTAAAAGTTAATTAGATTTTAACAAAAATATTAAAATGGATGACATTGTACACTGTGATGAAGGCTTTTTAATACATTACCAGCGGATGAATGAATGACAGTTCATTAATGAGATTCTCCAGCTTGCCAAAAATTATCTGCACTGTTGTATCTGCTCATTTCAATTCAGAATTTAAAGCCACCTCACCCTCACAAGGGCTTTTCACCATATTGTGACATGTATTAAAATTATAGTCAACGGACTACACATCTATAGTAGGCAGAAGAGCTTTAGGTATCACAGGAAGTAGTCATGCAGCTGCTGTGTTTTTCTTTTATTTATTGTTTATTAAAAAAAATAGTAATACTTACATGCCCATCTCATCATAACCAAGATATTTTCTAAGTTAGATCCTATTATATGTTTACACATCTAAGTAGTCTGTCATATTTACAGTGTGTGTTTCAGATGTTTGAGGGGGGGGGTGTGGCTATGGGGTTTGAAATTATAACATATTCTTTATTCAAATCCTGACCTTTGATATGTTGTTACTGTTGACATCCTACAGGAAAAACAATGTTGAGATTCTTAGTGCGGTGTGGGATCCCCTGCTCCTATGTCTACCTGGGCTCAGCAACTCATGCGATGGGGGAGGTAAGCCATTCTCCTTATACCAAAGGTTTAGGCCAAGGGAATACATTAAGCTAATTTTGCCTTGTTTGGATACCAAAGGTATTTTATATGAATGAATTTGTAAAACTAAAGGTGTTTGCATAGATAAAGCTTCAACTTGTCTGCTTACAGACACCATTTTTGTCTTTTAAACATTGTCATAGTCTGCACTTAAAATAATACTGGATGACACCAATGGCAAACCTTGAACTGTATTTGACAATTTCAGGTCACCAAAGTTTTCTTGGGAGCCGCTGCCATGTTTGCCACAGGAGACATGTACTCACGTTCTGGCAACTCAATGATCGCTGCTCTGGCCAGGGCCAACAATATCCCAGTTTTGGTCTGTTGTGAGACCTACAAGTTTACAGACAAAGTCCAGCTGCATCAGGGGGACAGCAACCTGCATGGTCAGTACACTTGGTGTTAGAATATTGTTTTAAAAAAATCATGGAGATTTAAAAAAACAAATAAATTCCACCCTTCTATGGGCAATGAAACATAACTCTAACTTAGATTGCCCACTCATATGGCTCTACATGTTCAGTAAGAATTTCCAGTTCTTTTTTTTTGGCTAGAATAAAGTTTTGAGACTGTATTATATTATTTCTTAAAACCTTAGAAGGAGCAATATGTAAGTTACTTTTACTGACATACATAATGAGTTAAGGTTATAAGTCATTTACATGTTCAAAATGAAAGACAATTGAAAATAAAAAAATTCCTAAATTTAAAAAGTTTTTTTCTATAAGATGATCCCAAGTCTAAATAGTCTGAGAAATTTTGCAGTTTCAAAGCTACTTGGGTTGTACTATAGATCAATCCACTTTAATTTCTTTGGAAAAAGCAATTTCATATGTTTGTATCATTGCTGACAGCCGTAAAATACAACAAATAAATTTGGCCAACATTTATGAGATTGATTTCTCTTCCAGCCCGCGGAAAGGATCTGATTTCTATTGGCCACAGGCCTCAAATTCTCAGCAACTATGAGGAGCTTGGCCTGCGCCTGCTAAATATCATGTACGACCTGACAGCGTCAAAATACATCACCTGCTTGATCACAGAGCTGGGCATTCTCAAATGTACAGCCGTGCCCGCCATTCTCAGGAGGCAAGAGGATTTACTGCTGGAGGCTGGGGACAAATGAGGCTGCTGCGCCAGTGTGTGCTTTAGAAACATTCAATCACTCAATGTGGTGATCACTTAGGGGACTTTGTCCTCCGCAGACTCAGTGAATTTCTTGATTGGTTGGCATCTTGGTGATGGGCCTAGGGGGGTTGGTGTTAGTTTACAACAAAAAAAAATGTTTGAAGATATTTAAAGTTTGGTTCTGACAGGATAAAAAAACTTGAAATGATTACCCTCTTTCACCCCTAACCCCTTGTCGTTTGTTTGTTGTTTTTTTTTTTTTTTTTTTTTTTTTTTTTGGTGCTTTCTGTCTCTAGCGTTGATGGTAGAGAGGAAATGTGATTGAATGTGTCAGATGATAAAGATTGAAAGTGTCAGTCAGGTGGTAAAGATTGAATGATTGATTTCATGGGTTTAATGTTAAAAAGGGAATGATTGAATGTTTGTTTGGTGGTAATAAATGTGAATGCTTGAATATGTTGGTGCGATGGGGACAAAGTCCTGTCATGTCACACTGTGTCCTGTCATGTCACACTGTGTCCTGTCATGTAACACTGTGTCCTGTCATGTCACACTGTGTCCTGTCATGTCACACTGTGTCCTGTCATGCCACACTGTCCTGTCATGCCACACTGTATCCTGTAGTAGCTTCTAAGATGCTATTTACATTTAGGATATGGATAATTGTTGTGCAAATATGTTGTGTTGATCTTATTATCTGATACACATAAATACATGCTTGACTAAATCACATGATATTTCTCAAAATGGCTACAGATTTGTTTAAGCCACATATGTAAGTAAACATAAATGTGAATCTAGTACACATGTTAAACTTATGTATGGCCTGTTATTTCCAACCGTTAATGTTCATATTGAATAAAACTTGTGCATCTGTTTCTGTGAAGGTTAATAGAAATGTCCTTATTTGTACTTTGGTACCAGCCCCAGCCGGGTGCAATCAAACTGAGTCTGGTCTTAGATGTGGTATCATAATCAACAAAAATTTAGTAATCTAGGGGCGATTTCAAAACCAATCCTGGGATCTGGCATTACTTAGAAAATTTGATGGGGTCACTGCTAAGGCAAACTTCTGTTCATCTTCTGTGCCAGGGCTGCAGATCCTGGCATTTCAGACATAACTGTGGGGATCTCACGTCCAGCTATGACAATATTTAAATATTTGAGTTGTGTATTAATCTTGTTGCTTACTTCAAAAAAAAAATAAGGGATAACAGTGGCAAAAAAACCCATGTCTCTCTCTCTCTCTCTCTCTCTCTCTCTCTCTCTCTCTCTCTCTCTCTCCCGCCTCGTCCAAGTGCGTGTGTTGTAAGCACAGTTTATATTTATTTTTTTGCATTTGTTAATTTTGTATACATATTTTTATAAGTAATTTTTTTTTTTATTTCTTTTTTTTTTTTTTTTATATATGAGTTGTGTATAAATCTTGTTGTTTACATCAAAAAAAAATAAGAGATATCTGTGACAAAAAAACCCATGTCTCTCTCTCTCTCTCTCTCTCTCTCTCTCTCTCTCTCTCTCTCTCCAGCCTGGTCCAAGTGCTGGAGTTGTAAGCACAGTTAATATTTACTTTATTGCAGATGTTAAAGTTGTATACATATTTTCATAAGAAAGTTTTTTTTTCATCACTTTGTTTCATTTTTTGGTGTTTTTTTATGTCTATGTAATTGATAATTGAATTATGTTACTAAAGAATATTATGATCAAACTGTTTAAAACCAGTTTGTATTGAACACTTTGCAACTCAAACAAAAAATGTATTAATGTTAAAACTGGGGGAAAAAAGTGATATGATTTAGTGGTATTTTAATCTGCTCTTCTCGTTTGTGTGATTTCAAGATAATGAAAGTGGAAAATAGTTTTTAAAATACTTTTTTGTTAAAATTTTAGTATTTTAATTGACCCCTGTCGTCGGTCCTTTTGTTTTTTCCGACTCAACATTGTGTAGTCAATGTTATCTTGATTCATTTAAATATGTTCATTACACCATCTCATTACGCTTAACATTAGTATTGAAAATGAATTAATGGCCAGTAAAATTGGTCTAACTTTTGTTGATGATTGCCCTAGGTTATGTTGTCCCAGCGCTCCATTGAATGATTGTGACTTGACTGAATGTTAGCCTTATCAAATCTTTGTTGTTTCGGATTATTTTATTTCACGATCACCACCCAAGTGTCATCATACATTCAAGATGGATACAAAATATTAATTATCAAACAAAGGAAAAAAATGGAGAGCAAAAAACGTTTGGTTTGTATAGGTTATTCCTCCACCAAACTATTAAAGTTGTTCAAATTGGAGTGTTTCATTTTCAAAGGGAATTGTTGTTATGTCCCCTTGCACTTGGTTGAAGTTTCGTGCAGATTGATGCATTTTTCAAAAACTTAGATATTGTTGTCCAATATTTTTTTTTCAAACGGACAATTCAATATGCATTTTTTGGAAACTGGGTAATTTAATTCAGACATGTATTATTTGCTTTTTAAAAAATTATCACAAAATCTTAAAGAGAAATTCCGAATCTGCTAAACATGCTTTACGTTTGTGTTCTTTGTTTTTGTGGTTGAATGTCATGGGAGGTAAGGTGTCGAAATGTTTTTTTAAACAAAAATTTTGTTCAAGTTTAAGTAAAATGGTTGATTGTCCTTCCCCATGTGTTCCGCTAAGGACTTTGTTGGTTGGGAAAGTCAGTTTGATAACCGGGAAGTCAACTTCAAATTTTAAAGTACTCCCACATTAATCTGGGATTTATATGAATAACTTATACATAGATGACAATAAAACAAAAGCTTGTGTGAAGTTACCCGATTTATTTTCAAAGATGAAATTTGTATCTGCATTATAACGGCAATAAGTGTGACACACTTACTCAATGTTCAGTAGTGGTGCCATCGCTTATAATAAACAATATGCATCAATATTGATGCAATCAATTATAATCAACAATAAATTATTTGTAATAAACAATATACATCTGTAATAATGAAATCATTTATAATAATGCAAAACAGAAATCATAATCAGTTAATAATAGTGGGCTGAAAAATCATGTAATGTTGCTTGATAGACATGAAAATGTTGACATTATTTACAAAATACATATTTAGCCATGATGTAGTTATCCAAAAAGTTTCTATTATAAACTAAGTTTCTAGAGATTCCCCTTGTAAATCATAAATACCTCACAAAATTGCAAGTCCATTTTATTTACAAGTTTACACTGCAACAGATTTTTTTTTTTTTTTTTTTTTTTTTTTTGGTTTTTTTTTGTGTGGGGGTTGCCAGACGGTTGAATTGTGTTGGGAAAGTTTGGGCAACCCTGATGTCCCTGTTAAACTGAATGTTAATAGTAAACAAAGCAAAAAATATTATTCCAGTTGTTCAACATGAAATAAGGACGTGAACTTATTTTGATAACATTTATAACAAATCTGATTCTGATTTGTCATGCCATGAGGTAAAATTGAAGACAATTTCTGCCCAGCACCATTTTCTTCATTCAACCCATTTCATACTTCTACTGCACCCATCATTGGGTGCTCTACTGCACCCATCGTTGGGTGCTCTACTGCACCCATCGTTGGGTGCTCTACTGCACCCATCTTTGGGTGCTCTACTGCACCCATCTTTGGGTGCTCTACTGCACCCATCGTTGGGTGCTTGGGACGGTGAAATCTTTGATCAGGACATTTTTGTCATAGTAAAACTGTTGTTGGTCTACTGACCGCGTCTTTAATATTAAAGTAACAACTTTGAAATGGCCATCACACAATAAGCCAGATGGCAGCTGTGATATACATTTATATGAAGCAATTCCATAAGGTAGTTGGGAGCCAACTTGGCATGGGATTAAACATAATGCCTGCTGGGCTAAATAAGTTTAATTTCACCAGTTATATTACAGCTGCCGGAATATTTAAAAAGGAGGAAATCTAAAGAATAAAAATTTAAAAAAACACGGATCAAATTATGATTGAGGTACAGTGTAATAAGGATTCAGTTTTGTTATCAACGATATTATAATGTCATCCCAATGGTCAACTTCTTGGTCACTTCATATTATAAACAAAAGTCTGCCAAGTGGCCATGACTTCAGCCAAGAAGTTTGATTCACTGACTTCTGGACTGCTGCTATTATTAGCTACATTCATGGGTTCTTAGAAACGCAACAAGGAAGTCTAAAGCCTGCCAACAATCAACCAATAAGACTAAATCAAATATGCGTGCCATACATAATACAATGTATTTGTCTTTATGCAAACATTAAATATGCATGACGTGCTTGTCGCCATTCGTATGTCAATGTGCACAAATTAAATAAAAATTATTTTAAAGAAAAGAAAAAAATAACATCACCCAATAAATACAAGTTAAATCCCTCGTAATAATGTGACCACGTAAGACCAAGAATGTGACCGCCCGTGATCGAGGATGTGATCGTGCATAACCACCACACATTCAAAGTATTGTGATAGAAACGTATACATATTTTTTTATATTAACTAACTTAAAATTAACTAAAAATTAACTTGACATCCATGCTGCACTAAATCAGATCTATGCATTCTAGTCATTCAGTCATCTAACCAGCTTGACATCAGCTCTAGAAATGTTTTTTTTTTTTGATGGCATGCCATGTGCCAACGAGGTAAACAGCAATAATACTTTCCCCACCTAACAACAGAAGTCGAAGTACACCGTGTTTCGTCTGTTAATTTCTGTCCAAATGCAGGAGTTGTCTCCGATAGAACTTGCCTTTCGTGCGAATCTTTTCTTCCTTTTGAAGGTGTAGGGGGGTGGGGGGTGTGTCCGCAAACATGAGTATGTCGGTGTGTGGAGATCCTTGGGTCACCGCATTATAATTGTGGCGGCCTTCACATTGTGTTAGAGCAGGACACCAGGTCTAACATCTTAATATTATTATTTTTTTTTAAATTCAGAACATATCACACCTGGCATACCAATGCCCCACCATGGGTACACATATTTATTGAACCAGTGAGATCTCTTAAAGTTCTACTGACAGACAGTCCCAACCAACACCCACGCGGCAGCTTACTTGTACCTCAGTGCCCTCACTATACAACAGGCAAAGATGGCTCCGAAAATCTGGAGGAAAAAAGAGAAATAACGAACGGTGTAGCTAAACATTTAATTGAATAACTTCAATTTATACACGTTAAAAGTGTTACACTGTCCTACACAAACACACCCAGAAGTACACACAGAAACACATCCAGAAGTACACACACAAACACACCCAGAAGTACACACACAAACACCCAGAAGTACACACAGTAACAAGACCAGAAGTACAAACATAATCACCCAGAAGTACATACATAAACACACCCAGAAGTACACAGAAACACCCAGAAGTACACAGAAACACCCAGAAGTACACAGAAACACCCAGAAGTACACAGAAACACATACATGAGTACACACGGAAACACACCTAGAAGTAGAAGTACACACATAAATATAACCAGAGAACACTAATAAACACATGCAGAAGTACGCACAGAAACACACAGAGAAATACACAAACAAACACGACTCGAAGTACACACAGAAACACACATTTAAGCAAGCGTTTGACTTTTAATTATCACTAAGTTGAATAGACGATATTTTTAGGTTTGGCATTTCAGCATGGTGGACACATTTCATGGTGGACACATTTACTTTAACTTAACTATTCATTTTTTTTTTATATGGCAGGAATCAAACCCTAGTATTACTAGTATCTTTACTTAAATTGTTAGCATAGAATAGACATAGTCCTATAGTTAGCACATAATGGACATATTCTAAACAATATCATTGAAAGGAATGTGCCTTAACACCAATGCAAATCAAGGTGATGCCCCGCAGACCAACATGGTCCACGTGCACTTAGTCGCCGGTTGGCATAACTGGATACTTCGAGAACAAAAACTGAAATAACCTGATTTAAGCCACCGTTGCTTGCCCCCTAAAGCGATAAAAATCTGGTCGGTCCGCCACATGAAAAGTTTGAGGAGCACCGGGCTAGATTTCATGTAAGAAAAAAAAAATTCTTAACTTGTTTAACCAACATTTTTTGCCAGCTGTACAATGACCACCATTGAAATTTTGACGATTCACAGCACTCAGATCATTGCATGTTAAACACTGCGGACATAGCTAACCCGTATCAAAGCAAACGCGATTTTAGCATTGCATGACTGTAGCATTTAAAAAAAAAACTGCGGGCATAGCTTAAAATGAGTAAAACAGAGTAGGGTTAAACCTAAAAAAATAAACGCAACAAAACAACGAACGTCTCGGCAGAAAGCCTTCGTCAGCGAACAAAACAACAGAAAAAAAAAACGGTATAAAAATAAAAATAAGAAATAGCACTTAGCTGGTAAGTAGTATCTGTTGGCATAGCTTACCTGTATTCCAGCAAACACGACTGTTAAGGCGAGAGTCGCCACGACTCTGTCGTCCAGCCATTGCTGGATGTCGCCGTGACAAGCCTGGCAGAAAGGAAAACAGGGGATGTTTTCTCAATAGGATCATTCAGAGCTTCATAGTGATGGTAGTGGTGGTTGGAGGGACGGGTGTTACAGAATGACCCAGGTTAGATTAAATATAGATAGAGGCTTGGAGATAAAACGAAGGACAATTTAAATGTAGAGAGAGGCTTGGAGCTAAAATAAAGGACAATTTAAATGTATAGAGGGACTTGCAGCTACAATAAAAGACAATGTAAATATAGATAGAACAGTGCAGATTTTAAAACAAATACAATTTTAATATAGATATGGAGGCTTATAGCTAAAACAAAGGACAATAAACATGTGCAAGAACAACTATAAACATTTCTCAACAGTTTCATCACCAATACAAATTTGAAAAAAAAATATATAACTGAATTATGTACGTGAAAGCAGGGCCATCCCGAGAAAATTCGGCACCCAGACTGGAGCCTGAAAATGGTGCCTAACAATATATATATATATATATATATATATATATATAAAAGGTGCCACCCAGGGAGGATCAGAAATAGATAAGATTTTGGTGCCCATTGCCTTTTTGAGGTAAAGGAATTTTACTATTTAATTCTCTCTTTAAGGTTCTATCTAAAGACGCCCTTGGCACCCGTCCTCCCCTGGTTTTGGCGCCCAGGTAAGCGCCCTCCCCTCCCCCCTTTTTTCAGCAGGGCTCTGCTTGAGAGTACTGACATCTACGTGGCATTTTTTTAACTTGAAACCTGAACGAGTCCAGCTTGCCTCACAATAGGTTTTATTTTACGCACATTGTACCTACATTATGTGTTAATGTTGGCTACATTACTTATAGTATATGAAATAAACATCAAAACAGGTATATAAGCCCGATATGAACCTGGTATAAACCCGATATGAACCTGGTATAAACCCGATATGAACCTGGTATAAACCCGATATAAACGAGATATAAACCCGATATAAACCTGGTATAAACCCGATATGAACCTGGTATAAACCCGATATAAACGAGATATAAACCCGATATAAACCTGGTATAAACCCGATATGAACCTGGTATAAACCCGATATGAACCTGGTATAAACCCGATATGAACCTGGTATAAACCCGATATGAACCTGGTATAAACCCGATATAAACGGAATATAAACCCGATATAAACCTGGTATAAACCCGATATAAACCTGGTATAAACCCGATATAAACCTGGTATAAACCCGATATAAACCTGGTATAAACCCGATATAAACCTCGTAGAAACCCGATATAAACCAAGTTTAAACCAGATATAAACTTGATCTAAATCTGGTATAATCCCGATATAAACCTGGTATAAAACCGATATAAACCCGGTATAAACCCATATAAACTAGTGTAAACCCAACATAAGCCTGGTATAAACCCTATATAAACCTTGTATAAACCCCATATAAACCTGTTATAAATCCAATATAAACCTGGTATAAAACCAATGTAAAACTGTATAAACCCACTATAAACCTGGTTATAAACCCTATATAAACATGACATAAACCCGATATAAACTGGTAAAAATCCAATATAAACCTGGTATAAAACCAGTGTAAACCTGTATAAACCCACTATAAACCCGGTATAAACCCGATATAAACATGACATAAACCCCATATAAACTGGTATAAACCCGATAAAAACCGAGCCAACAAAGGTATATTTTTGTGGTACAGAGATAAAACTTCTATTCTAAAGGAAGAAATAAGTGGTTGGTGTGTGGGTTGGCCGGGATAAGTGGTTGGTGTGTGGGTGGGCCGGAATAAGTGATTGGCGTGTGGGTGGGCCTGGATAAGTGGTTGGCGTGTGGGTGGGCCGGGATAAGTGGTTGGCGTGTGGGTGGGCCGGGATAAGTGGTTGGCGTGTGGGTTAGCCGGGATAAGTGGTAGGTGTGTGGGTTGGCCGGGATTAGTGGTTGGCGTGTGGTGGCGTGTGGGTGGGCCCGGATAAGTGGTTGGCGTGTGGGTGGGCCGGGATAAGTGGTTGGCGTGTGGGTGGGCCGGGATAAGTGGTTGGCGTGTGGGTTAGCCGGGACAAGTGGTAGGTGTGTGGGTTGGCCGGGATAAGTGGTTGGCGTGTGGGTGGGCCGCGGGGAGACCCACAATACGAAGTCGATGTTCTTTGAATGTGACGGGGTGCCGCTTAAGAGTTCATACATCGGAACAAACAAACAGAATCTTTTAGTATTTTCGTATCCATCTGCGCGTCTCCAAGGAAACTTTGGGACGTCCACATGGGGTTTTGCCTCTCAGTGGCGTGGCGGACTAGTAGGGAGGAACTATTCTTCCGAAGCTAAAAAACCCCGACCAACCGCATGACTACCAACGCAACGGGTGTAGTAACGTGGTGACATGATTACTTGTGGCCGTTATGGGATATGAGGTTTGGTTGGCGGTTAAAACCCATGCCGATGATTTTAGCTACGCGACCGTGAGAAAGCCGCTCCTAGGCGACCGTTTCGTCCCAGCTTTCGTCCCGACCGAAAGACTCCATGGGTGGTGGGGGTGGCAACGCAACGCCATTCCTCCGGAGGGGAAGCAAACCCACCCAAGCCACGGGAAAGTCGGCTGCGAACGCTTTAAAGGCAGCGTTTTCGCTCGTCCGGACGTCCCTCAGGCCACTGGGGAGGTTCCCAGCATGCCACCGCATGGCCTGGTGGCGGGGAGACCCGGCGTCTGGCCCGTGTCGGGGAGGGGGGGTGCCGGGGGAGGTATTATGAGCTCGCGCTCGACGGCCCACCGACGCCATTTCCCAATGAGATGTATTAGCATTTTCGTGTACCTTGTCAATGTTGGAGAATTTAGGGTTAAGTATCCTGGCACACGTTTTGTTGACAAAAACGAATTCTGTATTGTCCAGGTACTTTTCCCTGTCCAGCTTACAGCACGTCTTGGGAATCTGTGGATAAGGTATGGATATAATAATATACTCAAATCCAAATTCACGGAGAAATGTTCACAAAAAAGGGATTGATGAATAAAATAACATTAGCTGTTGGATTTCTTAAAATTATGCCCCCTCTCAAATTATGCCCCCTCTCCAATTATGCCCCCTCTCCCCCAAACCTCTATTTTATTATACACTGAGGGTCGAATTAATGTCTATTTTTGGGCTCTATGCACCACAGATAGATGTACCCATAGCTATGTAAATAATCATCGTAAACAGATAGAGTTGTAACATCAAGCTCTATGCACCACAGATAGATGTACCCATAGCTATGTAAATAATCATCGTAAACAGATAGAGTTGTAACATCAAGCCTGGACTTGTTTGCCACCTTGCCTCTCCACCCGCCTCCAATGGATAGAGCATCACAGTAAATGTATATATTTTGTTAAGTCACAGAATATAAGGGTAAGAAGACATGCCCATGTCCGGAGTGGGCCCCAGTGGATAGAGCATCACAGAAAATGTATAAATTTTGTTTAGTCACAGAATATAGGGGGCTATAAGACATGCTCATGTCCAGAGTGGGTTCCCTCAGGACACTATACCTCGGCAGAACTTCCAACCAAATGTCAGTCTTTGTTACTTATGCTTGACATGGCCATGCACACAGGAGGCTACAGCCAGTACTATATTTAGGCTATACTTGTGTATTCAATGATAAACACTCGTTAGTGTTCATCCCGTGGACGACATGGAAGTGTGTGGAGGGGGGGAGGTGGAGTCGCCATCAGGACACCGTGGTTTCGAACACACATCTGACATGAACTGATCACGGTGGATCGAACATCGGGGTCATCGGCGCACGTTGATGGTATACCTTTAAAGACGTTCTATCTTTCCAGTTGGTCGCCGTTGCATTGAACTCGTTGTAGCTGTCGACACCACAACAGGAAAACTGTAGGAATATGGGGACAAAATATTAGATTTTAATGGGAAAACTGTTAAAGTGTATAGGGGAAAATTTTAGGTTAGACGAGGGGTAGGGGCTACCTGAAAAATAGATTTTATGGTATTTTTGTAAAAAAAGAATCCAAATATCAGCTCAGTGTTGTAGAACAAATCTGAGGAACTAGATAAAGAGCTCCCCTTTCACGTATCCTGGTCTGGTTTAGTCATATCAAAAGTTTGCACGCTGGAATCTAAAGCCAAGCTTTATTGAGCTAGGGCTTACGACGGACGCTTATAAATGATTTGGACTCACTAAGAGTATTTCAGTGTCCTATATAATAGACGGTCAGCTGGCTTAGTTCAACTGTTATCTTTGTGCGCCCCGTCCAACAAACATAATATACGGTCAGCTGGCTTAGTTCAACTGTTATCTTTGTGCGCCCCGTCCAACAAACATAATATACGGTCAGCTGGCTTAGTTCAACTGTTATCTATGTGCGCCCCGTCCAACAAACATAATATACGGTCAGCTGGCTTAGTTCAACTGTTATCTATGTGCGCCCCGTCCAACAAACATAATATACGGTCAGCTGGCTTAGTTCAACTGTTATCTGTGTGCGCCCCGTCCAACAAACACTGGCAAAGCTGATCCATTATCTCTAATAAAACAAAACAAAACACAAAATGCATTTTTTTTAAAATCGCAACCTCAGAAAATGATACTCACGCCAACCGCAGAAAATGATACTCACGCCAACCGCAGAAAAAGATACTCACGCCAACCTCAGAAAATGATACTCACGCCAACTTCAGAAAATGATACTCACGCCAACCTCAGAAAATGATACTCACGCCAACCTCAGAAAATGATACTCACGCCAACCTCAGAAAATGATACTCACGCCAACCTCAGAAAATGATACTCACGCCAACCTCAGAAAACGATACTCACGCCAACCTCAGAAAATAATATTCACGCGAACCTAAGAAAATCGTATTCACGCGAACACAGAAAATCCTATTCAGGCGCTACTCACCAGCACTTGAGCTCTGTCCATGGCCAAAGAGAATTTCTTCTTTGAGTCTGTGAAACCTTCGTACTCTGTTTTAATGCTTTCCTTGAGAGCTTGTCTTAGATTGTCGTGCACCTGTCATGAACAACAAAAACAACAACATTGCATTAGATATTAAGAATTAATTATCCACTGTCATGGTGGCATCGAATAGTAGGGCACGTATTTTCTTGAGCGTGCACGGTGATATTAAATATATTCGTATTTCGCCTGTGTATTTTAGGGTCAAGGGTTACAATGGTACGATTTTTAAAACACATTAATTAATTATTTTTTTTAAGGCGTAGGCACAAGGGGGGTTGTAATTAATGCAGTTGTTTTAGAGGGGGGGGGAGTGGATTTGGAAATGTTTGACAGTTGTTGACAAGGGGGAGGGGGGGGGGTTAGATAAGTTGACGTCAACAATCATGTTTTCTCTATTAAAATTTTAATCTTAAAAATTGACTTGTTATCTCCATGTTTAAAAAAAAATTTTAAGTGTAAATAAGTGTAAATAATCATATATATTTAGGCTTTTAACAATATATGATATATTTAATGTGCGTTTGTCTGTGTACTGCAGATGGCTGGTCAGAATGTTAGCACACTTTGTTAGTGCAATAGAAGTCTAAAGTTGGCCTCTCTTCACCTGTAGTCCTGTAGATTCAGTTGCAGGTATGGAACAGGGCCAAGGTTCAAGTGTCGCGCGCAGTCAAGATAAATGAAATTGATAGAGTGGGAATTCGATATTTTGAGAATTAGGAAAAGTAAAGTGAGTAACAATAATAACATCGTTGATGAAACAGATTTGCAAAATCTGTAACATCTATTTTGCATCACAAGTCATTTTATGTTGAAAAATCATGTTCAACAGAACCGAAAATGCTCATTTGGGCATAAGAAATTAGCACCTGCTCCTCAACAAAAAAGGATTCGACCAATGTGAGTAGCTGCAAGGCGATGTAGAGAGCTTATGGCAATTAGTGCTCACACCAAAAATGCTTCTATTTTAAAAGCTGAAACGTTAGATAACGATGCTGTTGACTGGTCTGGTATATCACAAGATGAACATGATCAATCAGCTGCTATAGACTATGCCCACCAGGGGCGTCATTTAATTTTTTTTCAGGGGTGGGGTGGGGGCACAACAAAAACTTGGTCGGCTTGTTAAATTGTGTATAACTGGAGGCGCCACAGCGCATAGCAATTTAAATAAAACCTGCAAATTAGAGGGTGGGGGCAAATGTCCCCCTGCCCTACCCAAATGATGTGACTGATGCCCATTGTTACGATAGAGCAAACCTGGCTACTTCTTGGGAAGATGGTATCAGCTAGAAACTATACTTTAATTGTCAGCTTTACTGACAACAATCATATTTATACCAATAAAAATTATATTTAGTCTTTAACAACATTTCAATTGATTCTGCCTAATAAAATTTAAGTGTAAAAACTTTTTAAATTGTTGATTAACAAACTAAAGATGTAATGAAATGCTTTTCCTACAATTTGATTGTCATTAAAATAGATCAGCAAAAAGTAAAATGTATTTATAAATTTATTTATAATATAATTCCTTATTTTTTTGGGTGGGGGAGGGGTTAGAAAATGTTGACATAATTAAATAGGGGGGTCATTGAAAGTTTGACAGTTGTTGACAGACGGGGGGGGGGGGGGTCAAAAATTGTTTAAAGATTGCTGACGTAATTAATGGACGACCCCCTAATGTCTTAAAACTATGTTGTTTTAAAAGACAGTAGCAGATAAATAATATGTGCACCTGAATAAAGGACTCGGGAGCCGATTTATAGATAGTAGGAGGGCGCTGGAGACCTCAGTAGGCGCCCTGACGCTGCGTCCATTTAAGTAGCGAACATTTACTTTTATAAGTCATGCCCGTAGTCTGCACATCGCACCGAACAGATACACTTATATATCTATGTATGCATAAATATTTTCACTCTTTAAAAGAAAAAAAAAAAAACAACGAACTTGCAAAGAAACTTTTAGTTGGTTTTTTTTCCCTTCATGGAAACGGATCCGGTTGACATATTATTTATGCAACATAGCGAGTGTCTATTGACATACAAGAAACCAATCTACATAACTTCATATGTTGATGAGACGGGATGTAGAAAAAGTATTTTAAAAAAAAGATATTAGCATAGTACTCTCGCCAATGGGTGCAAGGATGGGATGGAACAGTGTTTATATTTAAGTATAATATATAAGTACACATACTTATTCTACCTGCGTCTTCAGGTGATTTACCTGCCCTCCTTGTACAAACATACTCGTTTGACAACTTTCCCTCAAACTCACCACAGCTCACATTTATTACTGTTGACATAATGATGTCATCTCTGCTTTTCCCCTAAAGTAAATTTCATGTGCGTACACTGTTTCAATGCAATAATACGATGGTCAAGAGATAATGATGTCAAGTTTAAGGACTTATAAAGTTGGATACTCTGGCATTACATTATAATTGCACGGTTTATTTAAAAAATGTGCTTTATTTGATGTTTGTCGGAAAATTTATTTTGTTCTACATCGAATGACTGAATTCTTCATAATGGCAATGACAGGCATCTTTTTCATGATGGAACTGACAGGCAGTCAGTTTCTTAATGGTACTAACAGGCAGTCGGTTTCTTAATGGCACTGACAGACAGTCGGTTTCTTAATGACACTGACAGACAGTCGATTTCTTAATGGCACTGACAGACAGTCTGTTTCTTAATGACAATGACAGACGGTCTGTTTCATAATGACAATGAGAGACAGTCGGTTTCTTAATGGCGGTGACGGGCAGTCGGTTTCTTAATGGCACTGACAGGCAGGTGGTTTATTAATGGTACTGACAGGCAGTCGGTTACTTAATGACACTGACAGCCAGTGGGATTTAAAAAAAAAATTGTGTCGCTGTTTTATAAAAATGGAGTAGAAGTTTTTGGGTGGGTTGTGGTGTGTAGTGGTGGGTACTGGTGGGAGTATATGGGCAGATGTATACGAACAAAAAGATACCCTACTTTGTCATTTTATGTTGGTGGCACTTAATTGTTAAAAAAAATGTTGTTTTTTTCAACATGTTTCATTGTGTGTGTGTGTCTCACCGTGTTACTTTCTGCATACGAAGTCACTCCCCCATGACATGCCTGAATAACTTCCGTCTTAAAGTTTATTTCTGTATACGGTGTCACTCCTCTATGCCATGCCTGAATAATCTTCCATCTTGAAGTGTATTTATGTGTACAGTGCACATTCACAGTAGCCTGCTGTACCTGTTATTGTCCGTCAGTCGCCCCCTCCCCCACTTCCCCCTCAGTTATCTTTTAAGTATTTCTTTTTTTTTATAAAGAGACACGTCCTTACCCTGACTCTCATTATGGACGTGAGGACAATGATCACGACTTGCAACAGAATTAGGACAGCCAATATCCCAGCGTACTGTGGATAGAAAATCAAGGATAGTCAGTAAAACAAAGCTATGAATTAGTCCAATATCCCAGTTGACAGACAGGACAGCGAAATACAAGTGGACTTTCGTAATAGTTATTCATCAATCGAAAGTTAACCGACAAAGTGGTTGGAACGTGGCTAGCAGATCTATTTAAGTTCGTTTCTTTACCTCAGAGAAAACTTACAAACGTATTAAGTTTTGATATGCTTGGTAAAGTAGCTGAGCGATCATGCCAGCAATGTGATGTGCTTGGTAAAGCAGCTGAGCGATCATGCCAGCAATGTGATGTGCTTGGTAAAGCAGCTGAGCGATCATGCCAGCAATGTGATGTGCTTGGTAAAGCAGCTGAGCGATCATGCCAGCAATGTGATGTGCTTGGTAAAGCAGCTGAGCGATCATGCCAGCAATGTGATGTGCTTGGTAAAGCAGCTGAGCGATCATGCCAGCAATGTGATGTGCTTGGTAAAGCAGCTGAGCGATCATGCCAGCAATGGCTAGAGTGCCAAACAATTACATTATATATATATTTTTTTAAATCAATTTTTGACACAAACTGTGTGTGTGTGTTGTGTGAAAGTAATGAAATTGAAGTGAGTAGTCGTTACTCCATTTGTAATGCACCCTGCTCTAAACATACCAAAGCCAGGAAACATTTGGACTCCTGTCCTACCCCACAGAAGGCGAGCACTGCAAGAAGTATCATGATGGATCCCTCCACAATGGCTATCGACGAGGCGACCTCAAGTAGACCTGGGAACAGATTAACACGAGGGAATTACCGAAATGAGGATGTGTAGTGTTGAGACCGGTGCCAGACATGTCTCTGAGCATCTCATGACAGAACCCGGGGGTCTTTTAGTGACATTACTGACCTGCTTTCGAGACCTCGTCATAGTTGCCGTCGTAGCCAAGCCTGGCCAGCTGTAGGACGCCGTCACCGTCAGACACAACCCAGATGCCCAGGCCCACCAGGACCATGCCGATCATCTGTGGAAGCAAAGGTTAAAGTTCACGTAACAGTCAGAGAAGTGGATTTATTTTTTTCCACCGATCTTTTCTTCTTTTAAGTCTTTTTCTACACTGGACCAAGCGATTGATCACCCCCCACTCCCCCCATGATTTCTTTTAAGACTATTTACAAGCCGGTCTAAGAGAATTTTCTAACACTTAGGAACCCAATCCTTTTTTATTAACGGTGGCCAAGGGTCACTGCTCATGCGGCTGAGAGAGTTTACAGGTGTCATTGGGCTCCAGTGTTTAAGATGTTTCAATTTTTAAAGCTTGTTTAAGAGGCCAGGCGGATTCACATGGACTTGTCCGTCGGTAAGTACCCAAAGGTCATCCGCAGAGTGGGGTGAAAAAAAAAGGGGGGGGGTCGAAGAGGGAGCAATATTTATGGATATGAACGCTGTAGTAACGGCACTGTAAATAAATTCGATTTAAATTAAATTAAATTTGATTAATTTGTTCGTATATGACATTCCACGCAATTTTAAACTGAATATCATTGTAAGAGACTAAAGTGTGATTAAACATTGATCATTTTACAAGGAAACATTGGGACTTTCCGCGTTATGAACAAAAAATGGGTGGGGGGGTGGGGGGGAATGTCTTGCAAAGTCACTTAAATTTTTTTAAAAATTATTTATCCATTTTGGAATGTTTGTTAAGGGCCATTCTTCAGTATTTGATGTATATAATGAATCACAAGCAACATTTACGTCTGAAATGTCCCAATAACCAAAACATCCACGCCATATTCACCATATAAAGTTAGTTTACAAAAACATATTTTTCTCAAAATAAAATTTTAAAAAGTTATTTTTCAGATTTTTGCAAGCGGTGTCCTCAAATATTAAAAGAAGTTGGTCGATATAAGGGTACGGATTACAAGACATTGACTGCATAAAACACAAAGATCATTGTACCTACCATTGATAACACCACAAAGTGCATTTTACCTACCATTAACAACACTTTGATTACATAAAACACAAAGTCCATTGTACCTACCATTAATAAAACATTGATCAGACAAAAGACAATCTTCAATCCACGCGCCGACATTGTTGAACAAAACTTGAGAGTCCTTGCACTTCAGAAACGTTTCTATAACTGTAGTCCGCTGTTAAAAAAAATCTGTTATTGCCTCTACGTGTATCCAAAAAGAATGAAATTGATGCGAAGAGTTTGCTTCTAAACGACCAAATATACAACTCACACCCCCTGTCGTGAACAGGGATCTTTATAAAAAAAATTTCTAAACTGGAAATTCTTTGGCCAAAAGAAATATCTTCAAACTCTAACGTTTCATTATCGCTTCCCTGAAGGGTTTAAACGTTTAATTGAATCCAGTGTTTACACACACATATCCACTCCAAGATTTCCTAAGGTAAACCTTCTGTGCCAGACAGCCAAGGTAGGTTTAAAACAATGCCTTAGATCACACACAGGTACTTTGTTCGGTTGTAAAAGTATCTTAAAACTAACACACAGTACGATGGTGTTGAAGTCAGTTCCCATAACGGAACAAACTAAAGAGAATGATTCACTGCGGTCTGACCATAACCGTATTATTACAGCGAAGACAAATTTGTGTGGCCGGGTGTGGCCGTAAACACAAGTCAGTCAGGCGAAGGACGCATTCATGACAGATAAAGAAAAGGCCAAGGGAGGTTCTCAAATTCCAATAGTTTGCATACAATCTCGATAGGACACAATCATCAAGGCAACCAACCAGTCTGTTGGATTGATAGTAAATTAAATGTGATTTGAATTTGTACGCCCCCCCCCCACACACAACCCCACCCCCCCCCCCAAAAAAAATAAAATAAATTTTAAGTAAAAATAAAAAATAAAAATTCACAGCCCACGCTTTATAATACAGGCTGTATTGGATGGTTTCTCAATATATACACGTTGACACAGAAACACACACACCACAACCAAGTTGTCAGTTACCGTACTTAAATGGGGTCGTATATTTTATAATTCATTTATTTAATTTGAACTCAATCGAGTTAAAATTTAAAAAGAAAAGGAAAAAAAAAACAACAACATCCGACTAAATGAACAAGTTCCAAAAGGTCGAGGGGGCCGGGGGTTTGAGAACCATTCAATAAACGTTAAGTTACACGATATATATTTATATATAACAGGCTTAACTGCAGACCCTATACAAGTACCGCATTGAATAGTCTTTCCTTTGCCTACCCCTCCCTTCACCCACCTCTCCAGTTCTAAATTAGGTTTAACGCATTCAACGCTCCTACATTTGAATGCATATGAAAGGGAGTGCACCTAGCCCCCAAAGATATGCGGGGTATGCCGGTTTTGTACCATTTTGTGGGCGTTATCTCCCAACTTTAAAGATTAAAGAATGAATAGGAAGGAAGAAAATGGTGTACTGTACTTCTGTTCGTTTGTTTATTATGTGGTGCACAACAACAACAACAAAAAAAACACGTTACACACATAGGCGTAGCAAGGAGATGCGGAGGGGGTGGTTGGGGGGGGGGCTATTTTTTTCTTCATATAGAGGGGCGGCAATTTAATTTCGGTCTACTGCTGAGATTTTTTCGTAAAAGGAGGTGGCAACATTTTTGGGCCCACCCCGGTCGGTACTAGCACTAGCTACGCCAATGGTTACACACGACATGCAGACTTTTATAACGACAAGAAGACAGGAGGAACTATGAACAAACATCAGTTGTTGTTTTCCCTTTAACGAAGTGAAGGAACTGTTAGGTTTCTTTTGAATCTGACGATTTGGGTGGGAAGTGATCGCAACAGTTTTTTAATATACATATCAGATCAGAAAACTTGAATGGGAAAAACAAAAAAGTAGGCCTACATGCCTGACGGCATAGACTTACAGCCCAAGCCCTCCATGTAGATTCTAGATCCTCGTACGATGTGCCATATCTTAGGTTACTCTAGTGTAAGGGGGACCATCATTAAGTACGTCACGCACCTAAAGGAAGGGAGGGGGGTGGGGGATGGTCTAAGAAAGTGGGACAGATGGTGGTGACACAGTGGATGGAGTGGTGGGCGTTGTGGGGGAGGGGTTATATGTGTCACACATTTTATTTTAACATACCACTAAAGGCTGAAGTTGACAGTGATGTTAACATGTCTGACATGATAGATGATGTACAATGACAAAAGATGTCCCTTGTATACATGTCATAGTTAATGGTAGAGGGGTTTTAGATTAAATTTTAACTAGGTCATATTTTGGTAACATTTAGTTTTTTTATTTAGTTTTTCACACTGCGTGAAATCCCATCTTTTTTAAAGGGCGGGGGGGGGGGAGCGGTGTCTGAGATTTGTAAGAGATTGTTACAGGGGGGAGGGAGGGGTAAAAAATTTTTTCTAAAAATAGCATGACGTACTTATGGGAGAACTAAGCTCGGTTTGTTTTTAAAGAGCTTAAAAAGTGCAAAAAGCGAAAAAAAATGAGGGGGGGGGGGAGTTGGGTTACGTTTGTTTGTTTGTTTGTTTGTTTGTTTGTTTTTACGCTATATTATTATTTGTCGTTGGGAAAACTAACGTATGTTGTATGTAAATAGTAAGGAGGGCTATTTTTATAGAGGAGATCAATTTGTAATCCTAGACCCTAAGTTTGGCATTAGATTTGATGAAATATTTGGAGTTTTATGAGAAAAAATTATCAATAACATAAAGTAGGACAATGTGTACATCCAATTGGACAATGTCCATATCCAGTAGAATAATGTCCACATCTAATAGGGTAATAAAAACATCCAATAGGACAATGTCTACATCTAGCAGAATAATGCCCACATCCAAAAGGAAAATGTCCATACTCCATAAGACAAGGTCCACGTCCAATAGGGCAATGTCTACATCCAGTTTAAAATGTCCACATCCAATATGACATTGTCCACTTCCAATAGGACAATGTCTATATCCAATAGGAAAAATTCCACATCCAATAGGAAAATGTCATCCTCCAATATGATAATGTCCACATCCAATAGGACAATATCCACATCCAATACGACAATGTCCGTGTGTTGTTTGGAAAGTGGTAACTTACTTTAGATTTTAACTTACCTAACGAGACACACCACTGTTATTGTAGAACCCATCACCTCACACTTTTGTACATGTACATGTCATTAATGCGCTTCATCGTGCTCTGACTGTCCATGCTTCCGATGCAGCCACATTTGTGATTGTGTCGCCAACATGGTTCAGCTCTGGTTAAATCCTCAGCGTATAGTATAGTGCTTATGTACTAACTGAGTGTACAGTACAGTGGTTATGTACTAACTGAGCAGACAGTACAGTGGTTATGTACTAACTGAGCAGACAGTACAGTGGTTATGTACTAACTTAGCGTACAGTACAGCGGTTATGTACTAACTGAGCGTACAGTACAGGGGTTATGTACTAACTGAGTGCACAGTACAGTGGTTATATGCTGAGTGCACAGTGCAGTGGTTATGTGCTAACTGAGTGCACAGTACAGTGGTTATGTACTAACTGAGTGCACAGTACAGTGGTTATGTACTAACTGAGTGCACAGTACAGTGGTTATGTACTAACTGAGTGCACAGTACAGTGGTTATGTACTAACTGAGTGCACAGTACAGGGGTTATGTACTAACCGAGTGCACAGTACAGGGGTTATGTACTAACTGAGTGCACCGTACAGGGGTTATGTACTGAGTGCACAGTACAGGGGTTATGTGCTAACTGAGTGCACAGTACAGGGGTTATGTACTAACTGAGTGCACAGTACAGGGGTTATGCACGGACGGGGGGAGATGCCACAGCTGTGTAGTTACTAAATTTGGTTGTAGCAAATGACTGGAGTATTGTATAGGTAGCAGTAGCCGTTTCCGACTTACAGAAATGGCGATATCTGTCTAGGTTTTAACTCACTCTTTCACTCGGCATCTTTAGTGATGAGAACCCCTCTTAAGAGTAAAACTGATTTTAACAAAATAAATATATAAATTATTTTTAAAATAATAAAGGGAGACAATCGACTAATATTTAATAATTTCGATTTCGATATGTTACTGCCCAATATCGAATGTCACTAACCGTTTTGTTAGCGACGGAAAGAAATAAAGATAATATATTATCAACTCTTTGGGCAAGGCAGTTTAATAGATTAAAATAAATAAATAAATATAAATTAAAAAAAAATAATTCCGTTTAGTTTGTTTAAACTCGATTTTAAAAGAAATTCTTTAAAAATTACTTTTATATTTAGATATTTTTAAAATAAATGTTCTTATTTTTAATATGATAATTTTTAACCCGTAATTTTTATCTAATAAAAGAAGAATTTATTAAATAATTTACCATAATGATGAGTTTATATAAGTGAAGGGGGTGTTGTTTTTTTTTTTTTTTTTTTTTTTTATAGATTTATAGTTTTTTTTTTTTTAGGTTTTTTTTTTTTTTTTTTTTTTTTTATTTTTTTTTTGATGGGTTTTTTTTTTTTTTTTAAAAAAAAAAAAAAAAAAAGTTTTTTTTTTGTTTCATAGTTTTATTCTTTTTAGGTTTTTTTTTTTATTTTTGCTTTTTTAATTTTTCTTAGGACGGGTAGATTTTTTTCTTGCTTATTTTCTTTTTTAGTTTAAGCCTTTTTCGTAGATCTTTTTTTTTTCTTTTAAATCTAGTAATGAAGATGATGTAGATACATTTATTGTATTCATTTGAATTTTAGAAAAGTAATAATATAAATTTAATTATTAAAATTAAATCCTTTATTTAAGATTATTTATGTGTATTGTTTAAGTTAAAAAATATTTAATCACACAGTACTTTATGAATTAATTAGGTGTTCTAAATAATGAAAATTTCATTCATAATGAATTAATTTCAACTATTTATCTAGAGAGCTTGGCTTAGTCAGAGCAAAACCACCAATTTTAAACTTTTTCCTTGGCACTGGGAGTCATACATGCAGACACTGACTGTTTTTCCTGATATCTCGAATCTCCTTTCAACAACTTCTCTATTTGACCTGACCTAATTCACAAGGTAGTGCATGGATCCAGTGGGCTAGAAAGAAATATCAGTAGATAGATCTATAAATTTTTAAAAAAATTATTTAAATTTAAATAGATCTACATCCAATTGGGCAACTTTAAATAACGTATCTTTGAAGACAGAAGAGTTCTCCTTGTTTTCCCACAATGGCGTCATTTATGACAAAAGAATCATGAAATGTAGGCTACTTTTTTTTTTTTATCTTGTTCAATTTTGTTGAATGGTTATTGTACATGAACAAAAATAGGTGGTTATCTACCACTTGAGCGTCGGCCAAGAAAAAATCCAGCTGTTCCGGTGGGAAGGGCCGTTTAAACAACTATTCTTATATTATTTTTAATTTGTCTGAATCATTGGTCATTGGTTTTACGGTTTACGTATTCATTCCCATAATAATAGACAATTTTTTTAAAAATAGAAAAACTATAACAATTTTTTTTTTGAAATAGAAGATAATGTGTGAAAATGGAATTATGCATAGTTCTCCCCCAAGTTGACTATGAAGTTTTAAAAAAATATAATTTCCACGAAAACGGTTGTGGTACATGAATCCACTTAATATGAAGGGAAAAGATCACCAGCGC